TCACAGAGACAATACGGCACTAAATGATAATGATCGTGATAATGATAAATGTAAGTAGAAAATAAAGAGTAAACAACTTTTCTAATATTTAATCTTATCTTCAAGGAACATTTCCAGCTATAGTGAATCCTGAATTTGATCAAATAAGCAGACAAAAAAATCAGAAAGATGTAGTATGTGTTACATGAAATTTTTTAATGTGATAAAAGAAATAAATGATAAGCATTACTACCACATATAAAATTTTAGTGTTTAAACAATTTTTAAAATAAAATTGAAACTTTTGCACTCAACACAAACATATTCTTTAATTTTTCTTTTCGATTAATTTTTTTTTTTAATAAAACAGCAAAAAATATTGCATTATTATGTCGTTAATTAATGAATAAAAAGTGTATGAGATGAGACAAAATAGTTTTTGATTCGTTCTTACAAAGGAAAGATTATTTGCCATTTTTTAAAAATTTCTTTCATTTTTTCTGCGGGTAAACTTTGCCTGTCATATGGTTTTTTAAAAAATCTCCAATGGATTCAAATTTTATATGACAAAAATCACCCTGAAATTAATGACATTTGAATATTACAAATATTCAACATGTTCGGAACAAATATATTATCCTTTTTTTACAGCCATATTTTTTTTTCAAAATGTAATTGGTCAAATTGAAATATCATATTTATCTTATTATCATTTATATTCCATTATTTTTTTGTAATTGTGCTTATTTGAAAGTGCAATTGATTATCGTATAATTTACAAATGGAATAATCATAAAAAATTTTTTGAAAAATATCATTTTTCTTTTTTCAAAATGTAAATAAGAATGCTTAAAACTTTTTTATATCCTACCAATTCTAATATTTTCTAATATTAAAAAAAAATGAACATTTCAATTATCTTTTCAAATATCATTAAATTTTCATAAATTTTCTTGTTCACTACTACAAGGATGTCATAAATGACAGATATTATGATGACATTAGCTGTTCGCTTGTTTACCAATCAATGTATTCTTTTGTTGACATAAAGGCGAATTTTGGGGTGGTTTCAATTTTTCCATCTCACAATGATTCTCATATAGTTCCAAAATTTTGCCAGTAGTTTCATTTCTAAAATTTAATTTTTTCTTTTTAAAGAAAGAATATGGATAAATTAAGTGAAATGACACCTTGCTAATTTACCTTTTTTTGTAGATTTTTCGATTGAACTATTTTTAGCTTATTGTTTTAGATAAATTTCAATGATTTATTTAATTTTGTTTTATTTTTTGATTACTATACAATCAAGATATTTGCAAATGAATGATATGAGCTGTTCAATTTTTCGTACTTTTTTATTTTGGCTTTCTTACTTCCGGTTTTTTTTTGAATTTTTAATTATTTGATTGAATGATGTAATAGAGTAGATTGCATATCTAATGAAATATATTTTGCACTGTTGATTGGTCTAAATTAAGTGCATTTTTTTTTTCTGCTGAAGCTAACTTTTACGTGATAAACAGGCACTGTAACAATTCTATTAATGATAACTTAAATATTTTATAAAATTATCATTAGATCGTGTTTAATGTTTTTGAAACAAAATTTTGGTTTTTCAATCATCTTCTTTCCGTTAAATACTCCTTCCGTTAATTTTTAACCTTTTTTTTTCATTAAAAAACAAAAAATTCTTCTGAGTTTGTTGACGTCATTATTAACAGAATGAAAGTAGAACAACCAATTTTTGAATTTCATCATCTTAAATTTTTGCTAACATTGTTAAGAAGTATATCGTTGATAAGCAACATCTTACCAAACATTTATCGTCAAATAATTCTTTGACCAAAATTTATCAAACTGGAAAGATTTTTCCATATTACAGATTATTTTCCATTCACCACTGTATTTTGATCTTTTAGTGTTATTTAGGTAAGAAATAATTAATAAAATATATATGTAAATGTTGAAAATGAACTAATCGTTTTTTGTTAGCTTCCAATATAATCCTATTGACTGCTGATAAAATTATAATGTCAGGAATGATAATTTAGATGAGGATGAAAGAAATGAAAATAATGATAATTATTATAACAATGATTATAATAATAATGAAAAGATAATGATAAGTTTGTTTCATCTTGCATTCTTCTCATTAAATTCTTGATAATTAAAGCATAAATGACTTATTGTTATTATAGCTTTTATTATTATCGGATATTCTTGTAAACAGAATTGAATTTTATATGAAATTTCTATTCTAAAGGAAAATGTTTCCAGTGCAAAGCTTGACATTTAGCCACATAGATAAGCAATTTTTTAATATTAATTATAAATTAGTATTATTGTTCTATTATTTCACAAATCAATATGACCGCTATATGTTGCAATGGACATGCTTTGTTTAGCTAATAATAATTGATTCAAGCTTATTTTTAAAGCAACACTTATATTACAAGCGTTCTGGAAAATAATCTGAAGAATTTATTTTCTAGTTAATGCCATTTTCAGGAAAATATAGTACTTGTATTTAGCTCTAAAAAATAAGGTTAAATTTCAATTAGCAATTCAAATTCGATTTTGCTCCTTCTTTTGTTTGTTTCTATGTTTGGTATCTATGTACATGCGAGCACACATTCGCACACGTCAATACACGTACGTGAACATATGTATATGTATATATATATATGCAAGCAATGAAGCAAATGAAATTAACTGATATAACAGCGTAGATTGATGCATAATAACACATCATTGCAAAAACTGGCCAAAAATTTTCAAGTTGAAATCAATAATGCTTACATTTATCAGCATGTGAATAACTTTATTCAATTTTCCATGTTTCGCTACTTTTTAAAATTGATTTAAAATATGTATCTTCCAATACTTGACTAGTGCTACTACTACTACTACTACTACTACTATACTACTAGTACTACTAGTAGTATTACTACTACTGCTATACTTGTACTAATACTACTACTGCTACTACTACTACCACTATTCTTATTATTATGATTGTTATTGTTATTATTTTTTACTTTTAATACTACTACTAATAATACTATTGCAACTAATGCTAGGGGATAATTATTGCCATAAATCTCTTGTTATATATTTTGATTAATCAGTAAGTTTGTAATTAGTAATTAGTATGTTGACAATATATCTATCATTGATGGTAAATAAGAAGCAACCATTACATGAATAGAAATTGTCTTGATATAAAGCGTAATAACAAATTAACAGTACTGATTGTAATTCTAATCAGTTCCAAGAATATTTATTATTAATATTATTTCGTTGTTATGTTTTTTCTTCCTTTGATATCTTTTTAAAATTAATTAATTGTTGAAATGACACTGATTAAGATTAATCTTGTAAGCTTACATTACCTTCTTTTTTGCATTAATCGTTCCTTCTCTAATTCACATCATTGATTTCATCATTTGATGCACTAATTTTTTAGCTGAATTCATAATATCTACTACCGTTATTTTTATCTTTTACACGCATCTCTTTTTCCTTTTCTATTTTCAAATTTTTTTGCTTAAATGTTGTATAAAGAATGTGCCTTCTCATTTATAAAAAGATTTTTGTTTGTTATTATTGTTGTTGTTGTTGTTATTGTTATTTACTATTTTTAAATTTTAAATTTGAAAATATAAATTTACTTAATCCATCATTAACTTAGTAATGGCATGAAATCTGCTTATCTTACAAATTGCTTTAAACAAAATCGATAAAAGAAACAAAAAAAAAAACTATTCATTGAATTCTTAAATCTATTATTTCATTAATCTTTATGATAATACATAATTACATCATTAATTTGAAAAAGTAATTCAAATGTTTCAATTCTTAAAATACTAATTAATTTTGACGGATTTTTCCTTATTTATTTAACAGAAATAATGAATGGACGAATTATGCATGCAACAATTGTTGATGATCAAGAGGTTAATGATCCTGCAATTGATACGGTACCAAAATCGATGCAATTCAATGAATCCTGCGAAAAATATCGTTGTCTTTGTAATTGTTTCCATATAAAAACTGGAGCTCTTATTGTTGCTGGTAGCTTTTTTTTTTTTTTCGCTCCAAATTATAGACCATAGAATTTAATTATAAAAATCTCTTAGTATGATAATAATTCAGGATAACAATTGAATTTGATAAAATAATGTTAAATATTAAACTAAAATAAAACTAAAATAATTTAAATATGAATAAACCAATGGTTAAATAAGAAAAATCGATAGAATGGCAAATACAGGAAAATTTAAACAAAAAATTGTTTCGCAATGATTAAATTTCTTTCGAAATTAATATTTCAATAAATACTAATGCTGTTGTAAATTCAAGCGGCATTACTGTACATTCTATTTCATCAAATTTGCAATAGTTTGATTATCATTAATTCTAAAATTATCGAATCAAACTAAATTTTTAATTTAAATCGATGTATTATCAAAATATAACTTAATTACATAATTAATTTTAAGAGGAAAAAAATGAAAAAAAAACAGTTAAATGTTTATTGAAATATTAATTTCGAAAAAAATGAATTGCTGTTTAAGTAGAAGAAATTCATAACAGTTTCAAGAGGAAAAATATGGCTAAATTTGGTTGGTTTACACAATTTGAGTCATTTTTCTCATTTTATACATCACATTAACTATACAAAAATTTTAATATTTACAAACTTGTTGAAGTATTTTTAGGTACAGAACTTTTAATGCTGCTAATATTTCTCATTAATTCGCTATTGATAATTGTGGAAGAAAACAGTGAATATGAGAAAATCACAGGTAAATCTTTTTTTTTTCACTTAATTTTAAATTATTTCAAATTTATCCATATTAATTGTAACGGATATGTTAATTATAGGTACATTTGATAAATATGTGATGCAATCATTTTTCGCATCAATCATAGGTATCGGTGTTAGTTTTTTAGCAGTCGTTTTACTTTTTATTGGACTAATCCGTAATATTGCTGCATTTCTGATACCACATCTTATCACACAGGTAGATTTCATTTTTATCTTAAATAAACTAGCTTTTTTTTTTTTAAAAAAAAAAAGATTACTCGAAATATTTCTTTTTCAATTCTTAATTGAGAAATTTTAAAAATTATATATTGGATATTAAAATTCAAAAATCGGAGTTAGCATTAGAATTTATAGATTTAGAAAATTAAATTAATGATATGAAATTTGCTACAATTCATTTCATACTGTTGCGATTGAAGATTTTATTTTTAGGTGATTGTAATGATAATGCTTACATTTGGCTTAACATGTGGTATTATTGCATTTACTACAAATACAACGATATTTTATCGATTGATGAATGCAGCACCATTTAAGGAACATCCCGGTACTACTACTGTTGCATTGAATACTCAAACTACTGCACGATTTATCACTATTTTCATCCTTTACCTTATTTGTCTTATATTACAGGTAAATAAACGCACCAATCATTTTGTATTAATTTATTCCATTTCTTCTAAGAAAATAATTTATCAATGAAAATACAAAAAGAAAGAAAATTGATCAAAAATTAAAATAATTTCAATAAAATATTATTTGAAATTTTCTAATTTTTTTTTTTAACTTTCAAGGAATGAGATAAAATATGTAAATTTAACTGTTAAAAAAGAATTAACAAGGTAGATTAACAATAATTCATTCTTTTCAAATTTATTAAGTATTTATTAAAGTATGAAAATTTCCAGTGCTGGTATGTAATGATCATTCACAATTGCTACTGTTACTTGAAGGAACGATGCCGATACATGCATTATTGTCTTGCATTTAGTACACCGATGCAAACATTGATCTTCCGATGATAACTGTTATACTGATAACTGATATGTCAAATAGAAATGGATAATAGAGTAAGGAATGTGAATAAAATAGGAATTTGTCGGAAATAGATATAAAAAGGTGAGAAAATTAACAGTTCCAAAAATCCCAACAAACCAAAAAAGCAATCTGGAACCGATAATTTGGTAGGATTCGTTCACCGTATCACTGCGACATTAAACAACTTTGTATTTAAAGCTTTCTTTTATCGAGCTATTCTTTGAATTCGGTTGTCTCATAAAATTATCGAGAAGCATATTAAGGTCACTAATACATAGAACTTCAACAAATTCACCGTTTCTTCTAACATTTATGATCTATTCCCTCGATCATGTCATATAATTGTCGATAATGCATTCTAATCTTTTTGTTCTTTTCTTAATTGCACTCTAAATTGTCGAAGAAAGATTATCCGACTGCACAAGTATGTGACCAGTATATTTACCTGCAACTTGTTTTCTCAAATACTATCAGAATATTCTTAATTTAAATATAAGTTTTGCTGAATGCAAGATTTAACAAAGTTTAAAATCAATGAACCCACTAAGTCAACTTTTCTCGTCTTGAAAATCTTTCAAATCAAAATTATACTATGTAAAGAAATAATGGGACGAACTTGCGTGATCTGGAATTACTAATTTCAACGTCAATGCATAATGTTACAAGTGCTAACAGCTTCTACTCCAAGATTTGCAGTAATTATGACAAAGTTTCATTGGGAGGGTGGAATAATTACAATAAAATACACCAAAAATAATGTAACAAAGATAAGTGAATTTGTCGGCGTAAAATAAAAAGTTATTAATGAGTAGTGAAATACATAAGTCATTTTGGTATTCGCAAAGGGAAAAACTTAGTTTGATTTTACAAATAAATAAAATGAATCGAAGACAACGTCAGTATGGCGTCGTTTTAAAATCATCAAAGGAATCAAAATAAACAAATATTTAGTAATACATATGTCTACCATACCACGGATATTATTAAATAAAGGAATGGAAGCAAACAACTGACGTGCAAAGTACTGCTGAAATTATAGTTAGACGATAAATATGATGAAAATTTATACAAAAATAATGTACACAAAAAAAAAGTTTCGGAAAGATTACGATATCATCAGTCTGAGAATTCAACTAAACAAAGAACGGCAATATAGAACTATCAGTTCATAGAAAAAGTATCTCGCTTGAATCATTTAAGAGTTCATCATTACCAGTCCTCAATTTCAATCACCAATCGTTACATCTCGGAACATTTGTCCCATCGACTCGTTATGATAAATTCGTCTGATTGCTTCGCACAACACCGGTGATATGTCAACTGTTTTAATTTTATGACAGCGCAGTTTTTGCACCTCATGAGGTACTGTGTTTGTCACAATCACCTGAACTGTATTACATGGAAAACTGAATGATGAAACGAAGTACATAAATTAAATGAATAAACGGTAAGCAAAAATCATGTTTTGCATTCTACTTTTATCTGGAACATTCACTAGGTTGCCTTTAAATTGGTATAAAATGCCAAGTATTACACATGCACTACCAAGCAGATTGTCGCTTATCAGTACTGTTTCTTTTTTTACCACTAATAAACTAATATCGTTTTAAGACCCGGCTAATACTTGGCTGTATCTTTTATATAGTAGCCTACTGTTTAGCGTTCAAACTAATCCTACCATAATCGTAAGATTATTAGAAAATTCTTAACAGTGCACTTGGATGTTTCATATTTTATGAGATTCTGCGAGAAAAATATGAAATTACTTAATTTTATTCGAATATTAAATTCGGTCTAATTTTTACATTAGCAATGTGATAAATTAACAATAGTACAGTTTACCTCAGTAATGGGTGAAGATTCCAAAAGATCAGGAGCATCTGCTGACAATAATCCATGTGTTGCTATGACATAAATTTTATAAGCACCACGATTTTTCAGCACCTGAGCAACAGCGACAAACGATTGCGCATCATCAATTATATCATCCTATAAATGAATATGAGAATTTGACCGGAAAGCATCTACATTTCATTTCTCATGAGGACTAAAATCTTTTTACGATTATGATTTACAATGAAAGAAGAAATACTCAAATCGATGAATACTTACCACCATAATCGCTATCCGTCCTCCTACATCACCAACAACTGTTAACGGAGGTTTTTCCTTCGCAACTTGAGCTAAAAATATATCACCGTCAGCTAGAAATGTGAATTATCTCAACCACAACTTAAAAAGTAGCATTAGAAAATAGTTACAGTATTTCAATAACAAAGGACACTTCAAATGATGTGATTTTGCTCCATTTCTAAGACTTTTAACGAATTTCTTGACACGTTTCTCTATAAATTTCAGCTTATATAGCAAATTTTCTACTTCGTCAGACCTTTAAACTAATTTGAAACAAATATTCGCAAATCGTGAGTTCAGATGGCCAAAACACTGAATGATTATTAGCCTGAAAAACTTGTCTGATATGATTTCTCATCACAAAGAAACATTACCTGGGAACAATTCGAAGGTGGTAAGATTTTCATTTGGCTTATCATCCAGTGGAGGACTTTGACGACCATCCTCTAAACCACTTTCTTCAACAACTTTCTGCTCACCGTGTATAACTGCTACACCTAAAATTTTGCACGAAACTGGGGAGAACAGACAGTTTCTCGAGTCAAATCTAAACATCATCATCTCCGGGAGATCTCATAATCCATTTGTCTGCCAAGTTTTTAAAAATAACAAATACGTGCAGTTTTTGAAAATGAGTAATTTCGATGATGTAGTTTTTCGAAATGCCGTCTTATACAAATTGATAAAACACAGCAAAAACATAAAAAATACATATCATTCGAGATGATATGTATTCTTTGTGTAAAGACAGATGATATGTGTAAAGACAAAATCACTACTTCAGTACTGAAAATAATCTTTTGACAAAAGAACGGAAATTTTTCACAAGGTGCAAAAAATTAAGTTTCCAAACACATACATGCTCACTGTGCAAGATAAAAAATTATAGATACAAGTATTAAAGCAAACTTCGTTCAATGGCAATTTTCAAATTTCTTCAAACTTTCAAATGTCTCGTTTTGCAAGGGGCAATATTTGTCAATGATAAAATTATGCCAGTTGTCTTTTATCAATATCAGTTATAAGGTTATCATTTAATATGTAGGCTTAAAAATCTCTATAAGTGATGACATTTGTGAAAAATTAAACTTTAATCATACATTAAAGATTAGCAGATTAGTAAAAGGTGCAGATTCCATTTAAATCAGTCGCATCTTTGCATTTCATCTATGACTTGGCAAATTTTTATCAGTCTGATTTATCCCACTAGACAACAATCATAAAGACTTGTTGATTCTGTAGACGAAAGTATGGGAAATGTCTCCATAATTAGTAATCAAGAATATTGAAATTTGTGTTAACCTGCAAAACCCATAATGAGACCTTTATGTTCACGCACTCTTTCGTTAAGAAGTGATTCGTTGGGTTTGAACTTTCTACAGTTTTCTAAGTAGTGCAAAGTAACAAAAAATTTCAGCTTTTAAAATCAAAACTGATTTTGAAATAATCTGATTTAGCAAAATTGTTAAACTGAAGTGCTAAAAATTAGAAAATACGACATAAATGCATGTTGCAAACCAATTTGTAAAAAATTCAGAGTTTCTCAAAATTTTTTTTCCTAGTGTCTCTTTCCGAAACGCGAATTAAATCTACAGAACTTTTGCTTTAAATTACTGCCTTACTGAAATTAAAATTATGAACACATAATATTTTGGGACTACAATGTTTGAAAGAAAATCATACATATTGATTGCAAAATATTTAGCACCTGAAAGTAGCTAAGTAGCTTGGATAGATTAAATGAACACACTACCAATGTGATTGATAATGACCACATTTACATTTAAAGCATGCAATCTGCCGATTCAAGTGCTCTCATTCTTATCAATGAAGCGTTTCATTTCACTGAAGACTTATCCAACGTTTACTTTAGATTCCTAACATACTGAAATAAAGGTGTTGACCCAATAATACCAATAAATATATTTACCTAATCTTAGGCGATCGGCGTAGGATGTTGCTTTATTCATAACACCAGGACTCTTTGCAACTATCACTGCATTTTTATAGTCCGGAATCTAAATTTTTTAATTTTGACAAATAGGATGACAAATAGCGTATAAATTCAATAGTTTGAAAATGTGTTAAAAGTAAATATAATCTTATCATAATAGACGAAAAAGTTTTTTTCAAAAAAAAATCTAACATTTTCTTTTATATACTGTAATAAAAAAGGTGAAGCGCGTAGGTTATCAACAGGCACAGAAAAAAATCCTTGGATTTCCTTTCTGTACAAATCGAGAGAAACTATTCGTGTCGCTCCTGTAATTTCTTTTTCTCATCATTGAACAGGCATTTCTAATACTTGTATTTCATATATCAACCAAGCTTAGTGGATCCATAAACTATGAATAAACCATTTCGTCAGATAAAAAAAGAAATGAAATAGGAAATTACCGGAATTGCACATCATATCAGCGATAAGTTTCATTGGTATGGATGAACGGCGTAACATTCGACACTGCTTGCTATAAGGCAGATATGGCATCACTACTGTTATCGTTTTTGCCATCGAAGTTTTACATGCATATATTAATATCATCAGTTCCATGATGTTGTTATTTACGTCCCTAAAATTTCAATAATTAGTTTGAAAAAAATAGTAATTATCGACAACTTAACTAACAAATGAATTAAACGGAATAGTTCCAAAACTGAAAAGGTCTAAAATGTTCTGGTTTGCAGTCATTATCAGCATGCAGTAATGTCCATATCGAGTTATGTATTGTGACGAGAGTTATTTCCCTATAATTTCAATCAAATATGTACCTCTAATTTGCTACTGGTAAAAAAAAAAATATTCTAGTCTAATTCCATGAAAATAAACGAATTATTTACTTTGAACCAGACT